TACCCAGGCTCAGGACTGGTGCTCAGGAATCATCTGAGCCCAACCTGTGCGGAGAGCCGCTCTTCGGAGTTTAGGCCTGGCTGCTCAGGCAGGGTTCCGACCCCAGGGCTGCGGGGGAAGTGGCGGTGGGGTGGGCACAGTCCCGGAGGTTGGGAAGGAAACTCATGATCCCCTTATCCCAGCGGTCCAGGGAGCCTTATCCTAGGGGTCCAGGGAGCCTTATCCTAGGGGTCCAAGGAGCCTCAAGGCTGAAGCCACCTCTGCCCGCAAACCTGAACTCTGGAGAAGCGAGAGAAGAGGGAGGGAGGGGGAGGAAAAGATGAAGTGGGAGAAGGATGAGAGAGGAAGGAAGGTGCCCTTGTCCAGATCCCCACAGGGATGTGCCCCAGGAAGGTTCCTGGGCCCAGCTCCGGCCTCCATGCCCCACGCTGGCCCAAGACCCTGGCTGTTGGGAGAGCTGTAAGATGACAGCGAACCCGTCTCCCTGGCCTGGGCGATCTTGTGGAGTGGGGATGTTGGAGGGAGTCCTCAGGCTCCCCAGCGGAGCTGTCCACTAACCCACCCCCGAAGCTCCAAGCTGGTCTCACAGACAGAAGTGACAGGGCGCCAGCTCCAGGCCCTGACCCAGTGAGCTCAGCAACATCACAAGCAGAAGCTAGTCCAGGCTCTCCACGCAATTATTTGTTACGGCAGATCATTCTAGAAACAACAGGTCCCTCTGAAGCATGGCTCGCTGGGCGATTGAGAGGATCCCAGCTGTCAAATGAGAGGACTTGGAGGCAAAGCCCAGGTTTATGCCCCTCCCAACAGGTGCTCAGCCAAGGCCAGAGGTTTAGTCTTCCTGGAGGGGGGGGTGGGGAGAAGGCCACTGGGGCCAGAGCGAGGCCGGAGTGTGGCTCAGTGGTAAGGATATGGGAGGGAAAGGCACACTCACAGACCAGGGACTCTTCTGACCCCTGGGGGCTCCAGGGAGTCAGACTCTACGGGGGCCTTCCTGGGAGGCTTCGGGGGTCTATGTGCTTGTGGGAGCACATGACCCTCTCTGCAGGCTGCAGGTGAGGAACACAGGTTACCCTCAGGGAGTAGCTCAAAGCTCAGGTTCTGGGGTCCCACGGCCTGTGCTGGAATCTAGACAGGCACACAGACAGGCCGTGTGGTTATAAGCCGGTCCTTCGCCTCCTCTGTGAGCCCGCTTCCTCTGGTGTGGATGGGAAAGAAACAGGGTCTCCCTCACAGGATTTGGTGAGGACTGAGTGAGGCGCCTCAGGAACCATTCCCACACCAGCGCTCACCTTAGGTCAGCTCCGAAAATGTTGCCAAAATCGATTCCTCCCATTTCCCCAAAGAGATCCATGAGCTGAGCAGATAAGAGCCTCTGCCCCACTGAACGGCCATTATGGTGGTGAAGAGAGAAGAGCAGGCCCAGCGGCCGTTTGGGCTCCGGTTACCATCGTCCCCCGATGTAAACAGGAGCGCACGGTGGTCTGTTCAAGTTCATTCCGTGGGACCACAGAGCCTGAGCGGCAAGCGCAATCAGTCACTCTGTCCTGGGCACCCACCCACTACCACCAACCTTCTAGTGACCCCTGCGGGTCCTCTCTGACCAGAGGAACTGGGGTCTCAGTCATGGTCTGCCCACAGCGAACCCCGGTGGCCCACAGCTTAGGGCTGTTTATTGGTGCCTGCCTGGCCGTGGCTATGCACGGGACCCAATTGGATCTTCACCCTGAGACTGCGTTTGCTGCCAACAACCATGCTGTGGACGGACGTGAGACGCTCGTGCATTGATTTACTCATGGATTGCGCTTCACAGTTTGCAGTGGGCTCTCTCGGACCTTTGTTTCCTTCTAACCTCCAGAGACAAACGGGGCATTAGCACTAAGCTGTGCTCCTTTCACAGAGATGGGACAGGCTCTGGGAGTTGGCCGAGGTCACTCATCTGGCTCGGGCAGAGCCCAGATTCAAGGCCGGCTCCTATTCGCTGGGCGCAGTTGCCTGCCAGCGGCGAGATGAAAACGTGTCCATTCCCTGCGTCCACCCGGGAATGGAGAGCCAGTGACTAAGGGGATGCAGGGGGAGCCTGCTGGCTCCGAAGCAATGGGCTGATGGGTTGTCATCGCCATCCAGAATGGCGGCCGGCCCTCTTGTAGGTTGGCCAGGCTTGCCGCGTGTTCTGTCCAACCTGCGTGAGGCTCTCTCAGCCCATTCAAGGTCCAGGCACAGACTGGCAGCGGGGCCCACAGGGCCGGGGAAAGGCATTCAGCTTTGGCTTCCACTTTGAAACCCCAAGTTTGAATCCTAGCTATCCACTTACTAGCTATAAACAGGGGCTTCGCACCTCAATTTCCTCATCCACATACTGGGGGTGAAAACCCTGAAATCGGTTGGAGACCAGCTGGAGGTGAGTTGAGCCATAGCCTAGGCATAGAAACGCACAATGAATGCCCAGTAACTCCTCCCCAGTTCCCCTGGTAGAGCTGGGCATGGTGAGCCTGCCTTGCAGAAATCTTAGGGGAAGGGGTTGCACGGGGCGTGGAGTGGGGAAAGTGTCCCTGTTTGAGTCCAGCAGCCACCATGTAAAGGACAGGACCTCCCACAGTTCTTCCTATGGTCCTGTGCCTCGGTGGGACGCTGAGAACCTGCCACTGGTGCCAGGACCCCATCCTGATGGTCTTTGCTCTTTCTGGCCTCTCCTCTTAGCTCTCCGAAGCAGCTCGGCCCTCCACCAAACGCCCAGCACCCTAATGGTGCAGACCCACCACCCGGCGATCCTGTCCTGTGAACGGAAAATCGTCCCCACTAACACGCGTATCTACTGGTTGAGACAGCGTGAGGCCCCAAGTCAACACAGTAACTACGAGTTCCTGGCCCTCTGGGACCCCAGCCAACAGAATCCGACCACCATCATGTATGGCCAGGAGGCGGAGCAGGAGGTGCTGACCATGTCTCAGGTTGGGCTCAAGGCCACGCTCAACATCACCAGGCCCAAACCTGCCCACAGCGGCATCTACTTCTGCATGGCCCTCGGGAATCCCCAGCTGGTCTTCGGGAAGGGGACTCTGCTGAGCGTGGGTAAGCCCCTGGCTCAATGCCGCAGACAGGCATTGAGCACCTATCAGGTGCCAAGTGCCTTCACTCAATCGCCTAGGGCTCAGGGATCCCCCACTCTGCCAGAAGGGAGCGAGCTGGGAGTAATAGCACTGCCTGAGCCTTGCCCAGGGCCAACTGCTCTCCTCAGTCCTCCCAGGGATTACTGCCCAGGCCCTGGGGGAGGGAGTACCCTTATTCCCCTGAACCAATGAGTCAGAGATGGACAGACTGCCTCCTATGGGGACCGTGCGTTGACTGTCCTCATGCCACCTCAGACCTACCCGAGGCTGTGGGAGGATTTGGGCTCCATGCACAGGCCTGATGGGGTCTCAGAACCTTCCCACCCCCGCAACCCCACCAGCGTGTGCACGCACGCTGGGAGCAAGGCTCCCATGGCCCCGCCATACTCCACGAAGGCAGTGGGGATAAGGAAGCAGGTGCTACCCTGACGCTTTGCCAACCTGCACCACAGGATGCAGGGAGTGAGAACAGACCAGTGCTACTGGAAATTCTCCGTTGGTCCGGACCTTCTCCAGCTCTGAGAAGCTGCAATTTGCAGGAGTCGAGTCAGTAGTTCCAATAGACAAATATTGTGAGTCTCGGAAGAGAAATGGTGTATTTTCTCTAATGTGTGAACAACATCGTTTCCACACGTAAACGGGGTGAAAGACCATGACTGAGCTGTTTCACATTATTGCTTCACATGAACTGTTTTCATGTCTATTGGGCATGGTTGGTGCAGCTCAAGGAGCCATAGTAGCATAGTGGTTGCCCGTTGGGTTGCTAACTGCAAGGTCAGCAGTTCAAAACCACCAGCTGCCCCTCGGGAGAAACGTGAACTACAGTCTCAGGAACCAACCGGGGCAGTCTACTCTGTCCTGCAGGGTCACTGTGAGTCGCTCTGGACTCCATGGCGTGAGTTTGGTTTCTGGGTGCATCATCTCCATTCAGACAGGCCACCTTTCAAGGGTTCAGTAGCCACATTGGTTAAGGACAGACTAAACCACCAGGCAAAGGAAATCAAGTCTCAATCTCTAAGCCCTGCACCTGGCCTTGGAGCCACTCCCTGCTTCCCGATGGCTATGCTAGCCCCCTGCAGGCCTCCCACTGTTTGTTTCCTCACTGAAAGCACTAAGAAACCCCCAGAAATAGACCCCTGCAGGTGGGGTGGTGCAGGGGAGAAGCCAGAGGCACAATGAGGCCAGCAGCAATGCAGCGGTACTTCTGGTCACCTTGTCCCCAACCTCAGGTCCTGGGTGGAGTTGAGAGGGGAGTGAGCTCGCCAAGCAGGAGCCCGGTATCCCTTAAGTTGGGAACTGACCGACTCCTGTATTGGCATTGGGCCTTTTTTCTGGGTGTGAGTTTGGGGTTTGGTTTATGGTTTGTGTTTTTTGTTTTACTGTTTACTGTTTGTGTCTCTACAAATCCCGTATCTTCCCAACTCATGAGATTTCCGGGTCCAAGAAAGGTAGCTGGTGAAATAAGGAAGCAAAATGATGATCAGGGCCTTCCCACCACCTCCAGCACCCTGTCTCCTGCCTCGAGGGTTCCACATTTCCACACACTGCCCAGCACCCTGGGAATGCCAGTCCTTCCAAAACGGCCCCTCGCCCTACCCCCGGGATAGGTGGTAGGACCCTCAGGGCAAGACCCTCCAACACACACTCCTGCATGGGATGTGGTGGAAGGGGGAGGGGTGTGGAAGGAGCAGGTGGAGGGGGTTGAAGAGGGGTGGAAGTGTTTGGGGGAGAGGAGGCCTTTCTTAGGCCCCTTCAACACAGCATATGCAGAAGAGGCCTCTCCCTTTTGAGGGAAGAGGTTGCTGAGCTGAGCTGAGCTGAGGAGGAGAGCTGGGAAAACCAGGAAGGATCAGCCCTTCGGGCATGAAGGAAATCAAAACTGCACACCCCCTGTCCCCAGACCCAGGCCATGGTGCTCAGCCAAGGCGCTGAGGTCCAGCCGGCCTGGCTCCCATGTGAGCCCCACCACTGACCCATTGTGTCTCCCCTGTGCGGCCTCATGTGTAAAGCAAGGGGAGTGGGGCTTGCAGTGCTGTGAGGATTCAGGGAGGGAACAGAATGCTCTGAGACCCCCAGCGTAGAACCAGGCTTCTGGTAGACTGGGTGTCTGTCTTTCTTGTCACACAAGGCCCTTGAGCTGGCCTAGGGTGCTTCAACTTTTTATCAGAAAGCGTTTTCACATGCAGCAGTGTGCCGTGAGGAGAGCACATGCGTGCTTTTGGGGCTCCCAGCCTGGTTTTGCTGGTTACAGGCAATCTGATCTGGAGCTGGGGTCCCCTGGCAGGTGCAAATGGTTAACATGCTCAGCTGTTAACTGAGAGGTTGGCGTTTGAGTTCACCCAGAGAGGCCTGGGAAGAAAGAACCAGTCATCTCCTGAGAAACCGTCCCCAGAAAACGTTCAGGAGCAGTTTTACTCTGACCCACAGAGGTCACTGCAAGGTAGAACCAGCTGGACGGCCAGTGCTGTTTGGTTTGGTTTTAACTTTGGGCCTGTTACTTCAGCCCTCTGAGTCCAGCTTTCCGTGTGGTTGACCATGAGGAGCATAGTTCCTACTGCAAAGGGAAACTTCAGCTGAAGCGTTCAGCACTGAACTCAGCACTTGGGCAAAAAACCCTACAATCTCACTGTCATTCACAATGACCCTGTAGGACGGGATAGAACTGCCCCTGTGGGTTTCTGAAACTGTGACGTTTTTAAAAAATTATTTTACTGGGGGCTCATACAATTCTTATCACAATCTATACATATATCCATCGTGTCAAGCACATATGTACATTTGCTGCCCTCATCATTCTCAAAACACTTGCCTTCTACTCTGGCCCCTAATATCAGCTGCCCATTTTCCCTCTCCCTCCCCACTTCCCCCTCCCTCATGAACTCTCCATAATTCACTAATCATTATTATTTTGTCATAAGTTACACTGCCCGACATCTCCCCCCACCCTCTTCTCTGCTGTCCATCCCCTCGGGAGGAGGCTATACGTAATCGGTTCCCCCTTTTTACCCTACATTCCCTCCACCCTCCAGGCATCGCAATGAAACTGCGACTTTTTACAGTTCTCCCTCAGAACAGTTGGGGTTTCAAACTGCTGACCTTGCAGTTAGCAGCCCAACGAGTAACCACTATGCCACCCGGGCTCCTCTCAGCACATGGTAGGAACTCACTAAATATTCATTCTAATTAATTGGCTTTTCCTAGAAGCCTCACAAAGCCGGCAATCAGAAAATGGTTTCCAGAGGCATCTCAGAGGCCCACCTTTTACATGGGAGCTTACTGCCCCTCCCTGTCCCCAGACTGGAGATTGGATGGCAATGGCGCTGTCATCCATGTCTTTGCTCCACCCACAAAGGCACAGCCAGACTGGCCCGTGCCCAGTGCTCATGGAATTCCTCAGCCAACACAGACCTCAGACCCTCAGGACCCCTGGTACCTGCCCTTGTTTGCCCTTTTTACATTTAACACACATGACACTGGGTCAAACTGAAGGAGGAGGACCTCTCCCAGGAGGCAGGACACACACACACACACACACACACACACACACACCCAGCTCAGCTATTTCCGCAGTGGGTCCTTGGAGCTGAGCACGGCCTTTGGAACTGAAGTTTGAAACCAGATCATAGGTCCCCTCCCACTCCGTTGTTTCATGATATTTTAAAAAGTCATCTAGGAAGGATACATTTCAAATGGGTGTCCCTGCTGGTGTTGCCCACCTAGAACAGGACCCCCAGTAAGAGCTTCTACCACCTGCTTGGATACGGGCAGGTGGCCCGGCCGAGGGCATGGGCCACCCAGCTTCAGCCCAAAGTCTATCCACACATGCTGCAGGGCAAATCCCCCACTTTAATGCTCACAACAACCCCAAGAAGGAGATAGGCCTCTTTAGTTTACTAGATGGGGAAGCTGAGGCACAGAGGCGAAAATGGTTTCCAGAGGCATCTCAGAGGCCCACCTTTTACATGGGTGACTTGGCTCCAGTGACTTGGCTCCAGTCATACAGAGGTAGGTTAATCAGGGGTGCTGGGCTGCACTCATGCCCGTACTTTAACAGCAAGGGCGGC